TATAATTTAGAATAAATAAATAAAGTGCATGATTAATATTACAACAAAAAAAATGTAAATAAATAAATATGTTAATGATCTCATTGCGAGATATAAATAAATTATTTTTATTGTTATTTTAAATGAGTTGAAATCTTTGGACGCGGTTGTTATTTTCATCGGTTACATACATGAATGTTTCATTATGGTTAATAGCTAATCCTCCAGGACCGTTAAACATGGTATCACTGGATCCGGAATTACCATTGATATCACCTGCAATAGTTACTCCTTCAGTTGCTCCTTGATTCCAACGTTGAATTCTATGATTTCCATAGTCCGCTATGTACAAAGCTCCCGTCTTGTTGGATATTTTAATATAAGACGGACTAGAGAGTTGATTGCTTCGTGAACCAGGACCATTGCCGCCTGCTACTGTAGTGCCGTTGCATGGCCAAGTATCATTTAAGTTAAAACGCTGAATTCTATGATTATTTGAATCAGCGACATATAACCATGAATTGTGTTCATCAAGTGCTATTCCTTCAGGTCCATCAAGATCCATAGCAGTATTACCATTGATAGCTGAGATATGACCAACTATGATTGTACCATTCAAAGCATTTGGAGGCCAAAACATTATTCGATTATCGCCCATAGAAGCGACGATAACATTCTTATTATTATCTACTACGACTCCAAATGGAACATTCAAACTGGCAAGTCCTGTTTCACCATCACTGTTACCTGCAACAATGCTGGTTAGTGGATTAATTGTTTGCATGTTAGAATATAATACAACTTGAGAATCAACAGAGTCAGTAACATAAATATCACATCCATTTCTAGCATTAACATACACATCTAAAGGATAGAACAGAGATTGTCCAGGAGCCCATTCAGTTGCTACTACAGAAATATTTTTATAGTTTGTATCAGCATCCCATAAACCGAGAATACGATTATTAATCGTATCCACAATAATAATTGAGTCACTGTTGGTTCCAAATATACCAATTCCTAGAGGATAATAGAGACCAACAGTCGAACTATCGCTTATTTCAGTGGTATCATCCGCAATTGTTGTTCCAGAAAGTACTGATAATGCTATAAAGATAAGAAATAGAATTAATTATGGAAGAGATCATTGAAAACTATCAAACTATAAGATCTTGTAATACTGTCTCAATTATCAGAACAAAATATAATGATGGAAAAAAAATTGTACAACTTACGACCACATTGATTAAATTGTAAACATGTATAATTAAGATCTTCTCTACACATGCTCATATTTTGTTGACAAGATGCACCAAGTATTGGCAATTGTGGAATACACATAGAAATTGATGCATTCCAATAAGTATGTGGCATACATTCACAGGTAGAATTACTGCCACATCGAAGATAACGAATGTGATTGCAAGTAGAAATACATGGACTGCCGTATTCAACGAAAAGACGTGCCGA